GAGCAGTGCAAATGAGCTCGTCTCAAAGATCGACCCAACCACTAATTTGAGAGGTTTGTGTGAGTAACTGATACAGTCTAGCTAGATGAAGTCATGGTCTTAGTAATATGCAAAAATTTGAAGAACTTACTGAGATTAAACTGTCAGGATTTCTACAAAACTCCGCACTATTGGGCATTCGCCAAACGTGCGTGCGTTATGACACCGATGCTTCCCTTCTCGAATGATTTGGGAGCGGAAACAACTAAAATCGAGATATCATTAAGTCACATTGGTCATTAATCGGGGCCAAACATCAGAATGGTGCGTGCTGAAGTGCTCTTTCTCCGTGAATCTAGTCGTGGTTTTACCAGGTTTCGCTATGCTAGCTATGCTTGAGCCGACAAAATCACACCCTTTTTTCAGCGCTTAGCAATTCTATCATTGTTCTCACCGATTCTTTAATATCTACGTTTAAACGATATCTCCTGACGCAGGGAAGGCAGCCTATTTTCAGCAGAAGAGCTCGAAATGCCGAAAACAATAGAAGCGAATCAGGCGTTTTTGTTAATTGTAGTTCCTCTGCATATATGGCAGGAGCGCAAGAAAGAGTTCAAAGTTGGGGCCAAACGAAATACTATTGGCTAAGCAAGGTCTCCCCCATTTTGCTCTCCCCGGATTTCGACTACTTCATGTTTTCATTTGATGTGAAAAGGTGACTGATTAAATTCGACTAGTTATCGTGGATGATAATGCGTGCCCTGGTGCGACGTCAAATATCAGCAACGCTACTGCATGTATTTCCCTCTGTAAGATGCTGGCACAACTTGCATTATCTTGTTTTGAAGTGCATACCTTCTGAGCTATCCGGCGATGCATGAGCAATTCGAAAGTTTGCACTGCAAAGTAGAGAGCTGAGCGTGTCGCGTTTGATTTCATAGTCGCCAGTTGATTTGGCTTGTACTGAACGAATTTGCACTAGCATTTAATCGTGGGATGCACTCCAATGAAGTCGCTGTCTTATCTGAGTGCAGAAAACTCGCGGGGAGAATAGCTTTAATGCAGTCTCCCAGAAACATGGCATCACCAGACGTCCAGTTTTAAAACAACCAGGGGCAAAAACGTACAATCTGCAGAAGTTATACATTAGTCTAAGATTGTCAACTTAGGGTCTCTGCCACGTAGATCAGCCACAGTCGGCCACAGGCGGGGTCAGGCCACAGTTCAGTGCGTCCGGGATCAGCTTGTCTAATTTGCCTTCTATCGTCAAAGTCATCTGTCGTTGCCCTTTTTTTATTAAAGTGCCACTACCGTAGCAATTGACTGGTGTGTCCAGGATAGTGACAGCCTGCTGGCTGAGTTGTCAAAGAGAGCTCCGCTACATCCTGACTCGAAATACAACCGAGAAATCTAGGATGAATGCATCTTGTGTGTCTTATTTTGTTTGTGCTGAAGAACATCCAACCCTTTGAAGATGACGTATTCTGAACTTCCCGCTTGGCGGGGCTTAATACGGTCTAATATGATTTATTCCCAACGGGGAATCCTTGTTATGATGTTAAGCATGCGCCGCATACGAGATTTCAGAAAACCCTAAATTGTCGGCGTGTTTATAAAAAATTGCTCAGTCCAAGGATCCCAGGACACCCCGGGATTGAGCCTCTCAAAGCTTCGAGGTCCACGGATGGCAAAAACGGCCGAGGATTATCAACACTCGCCTCGAAGAGCAGCAACCCAGTCCGCCAGCCGGCTGGGGCGCTCCCAGCACCCAACGGGTCGACGCAGCATGGGGATGGGTAAGTGCCAGTCAGACACCGGGGTGGCGCTGCGATCCTTCTGCAGCTGCGCTCTTAGGCCCACTAATCGCACGGTTACAATGCTTTCTTGTACGCTACATTATTGGCCGTGCCCTCCGGTGACACGGAGACCAGACTTTTGAGCTGTTCACCTCCGTGTAGCCGATGCACACAGCTGACCTTGCGAAAGCATTGGCTCAGTCAGGGTGAGAAAAGCTACCCTCCAGGGGTTGGCCTCGGCTCTGGTCGATAGCCATGATGCAGCCTACGCCATGGACATACTGATCCCGTTTCCCGTCTAGCTGAACGATTCAGCTTGACGGGAAACGGGATCCGTTTGAAGCCGAATGGCATGTCGGGCGGGATGAGCGGGATACGTGGGATGCATGCGTTATCTCCCTTAGTCTTGTCCGTCCTGATGGTCGTCCTCAGGAATTTTTGCGTCGTCGTCTCGGTGTTCAACTGCACACATCATCTATCCTTGCAAAGCTTGGAAATTCACGTTTCATAGGAGCATGATGGACACGCCTTGCTTGAGCATCATGCGCATAATGGCAGGTATGATGGCTCCAGACCGCCGACGAAATCCATTCGGTTGTTCAGTATCCACACCCTCCCCTGGGTCTGGCACGGTGTCCACCGACTTGTAGACCCTAGCGTCCCCAGACTGCTTCTCCAGAGCCTCGACGTTGACATCATCAGCAGCAAGCTTTTCGGCGCCAGGACGGCTCGCTCCGCTTGGCTTTCGCTTGCTGTCTTCTCCTGCTGGCGTGGCTTGGCCAGGATGAGGTTGGTCATAAAGGGTCCTTCTGGAGCGTCGAGGACTTGCTGCCACCAGGGTCTGTGTCGGTATTCTCCGTGATGGGGCTGAATGCTTGCTACTGGACTTCGACCAGCAGCTGTTTGCTCGCTTCACACCGCGCACCGCGGTGCGATCGGGACCGGAGTGGTGCATAAACCTTCCTCTCGCCACGCTGATCCAGAAACATGAGCTTTCGGGCGTCCGCCTCTGGCGGTTCTCGAAGTATTAGAGGCTAAGTGACAGAGCTGCCGCTTTTATGATATAAGCTGATGGAATTTGCGCTTTACCAATATCTTGTATCATTCATGACCACAGGCACTTCTCCTTTTAACGATAACTAGCAAAGAGAGTAGTGATGTCGGTAACGTTGAAAATCCTGACTAGCTACACATACTTCATGTTCAAGTTGATCAAGAGCTGAGGGTTATGGAGTGCTTGACCCATAATCTGCCGCATCTCGAGGTAAGTGCTCCTCTGCGCTATTACTACAGAAACCCCGCGTCGTTTTCGGCCCTGACGCTAGGGCTCACCGTCAGCACACTGCTCGCCACTGCGGCGGCTACTTTGGTTCAAGTGACGATGGCTGTTGAAATTTCACGGAAGGACTGGCGCGTGATTACATTGCCATCCTTCACCCTTCCAGATGCTTCCAGTTTCCATCAAGATGATCAACCAGCTCGAGCCACAGGTCCTCACCCTGGATATCCAAGAATGGTCGACAGAGCAGAAACGAAGCCACGCAAATATGCAGAGTTTCTTTCCATCGACACGCGTTAAGTTGTTGTGCGGCCCACGCTGCCATAGCTTATCATATAGGTTAGTTAATAGAGAAGACGATCGTTTGTTCATAAACTATAAAAGCGTGATTTCAATGTTTAATCCAGAAGGAAAACTGCGTGGGGGCCATTCCCTTCCCCTCGGATCATTTCAAGGTCATTAGAAAACTGAAGGTCTTCTTAAATCTGGTTTCATTTTATTTGTTTCCAGAACGGTGGCATTGTTATGTGCATGTAGCGGAGACACAGCATAGAAGGGTGGGAGTTAAGTGAATAAAGGAGCTGTTGCACTGATGTGCACGTGCGTAACCGAATTTATTACTGAAACACGGTGCAAAATTAAGTCGCTGCACTGGGACGATGCGGAGAATCTTTTTGTCGTAAAGCAGATCGTTAGGTTTCGTATGCTAATAAAGAATATTGGCAAATTCTTACAACTAGCATTCATATGCAATAACGAACAAATCCACACATACACCTGGTTGACAGCCGATCATTGACGTCATATTTAGTGAATACAAAGACCACTGTACATGGTCATCATTGTCGATTTCAAGCTCAAAATGGGCTCAAGTGCCATATTTTATGTTGTAGTTATTGCCAAAGATGAGTTTAGCGTTGGTAATAATTGCTTCGTTCATTCAGGCAATAGCCTTATATTTTCACACCGCATCTTCAATGCCCTGGTTACCCCGCTGAATTACCCCTAAAATGACAATAGTTTTATTAGTAAAGTAGAGGCGGTTAAAACGACACTAGGACATCTGCTCTCATTAAAGTGACCCTGCTGCCCGTACTTTCAAAGCCATTAAAAACGGTTCACCGCGGCAGTTTTATTTATCACATGGGCGTGTGGACAGCAACAAGTAAAGCGAAGCACCAGATGGAAGGGTACCTTTACCATAAACACGTGACGTAAATGCAGGTCGCACACCACAGTACCGCAATTCGTCCAGTAACATAATATCGACAACAGTTCAACAGTCCGACCGTACTACTTTACTCACTTTTGGCCATTTTCAAGCCTCCATCCCCCTGGTTACACGGTGGTTACACCGGGCGCCCCCCCCCCCCCCCCCCACCCAGTTCTCTCCCCTGGTCATGCTGCGTTGAGCGTAAGTCTTCAAAAAGCTATGACAGTATTACTCTAAATGAGCTGGTAATGCAAATCAGATAATGAGACTGTTCCTTGTCATGAGAACAAGCCAACGGTAAGTGACTTCAAGGTTTTAGTTTCCTAAAGTTGTTATGGCACAATTTGCAACCACACCTTACGCTGTTCAAAACCTCTCCCTTCCTTGTCACGCTTCGCTCACGCTTCATCAAAACGCGGCCCCCTCCATGCGTAACGTAATTTATGGATGGTCCCATGTCGTCTCGTAAACTGGCGCTGATTGCGAACAACTCCCATCACACGTCTGAGAAATTGGGGCCGGTGATCAAAACCGACGCCAAGCGTGACACAAACTGAGACTGATCATCAGGACTCCCGTCAAACACACGACGCACCGCCCTTCCTCAAACCCCGTGAAACGTCTGATGAGCTACAGCTTCATCGGCAAACTCCCACCAGGTCGACGTCCAGCAGGCCGCCTCCATCGCAATTACACGACCGACGAGCGCTGACCGCCAGGCTGCCGTTAAACTCTAGGTGGACGTCAGCAGGCAGACGAAGCCGAACGACTTGTCACACCCCTGCCAGCGCCAGTGGCCGTCTGCGGTGAGCTGAACACAGTCCGCGCCGGGCACGACGTGCCCCGTCACGAGCGGTTTAATGTAGGCCGTCTCCGACCCGTCGGTCCAGGCCAGACCCTGCGAGACGTACTCCAGCCCGGTCCAGACGGCGGCGCCGCCGGCGCCTGCCACCATCGCCTCGACGGCCTTCTTCTCGGCGTCGCTGTGCACGGACACCAGGTCGGCGCCGTCCGCCAGCGCCTGGCACTGGCTGCGCGCTGCGTCCCGCGCGGCGGGCCCGACCAGCGGCCGGTCGCAGCGGCCGGCCGCCGCCTGCCAGCCCTCGGGACACGAGCCGGGCGCCGGCGTCGTTGGCGTCGAGCCCGACTGCTGGCACACGACGCCCAGCTTCTGGTCGCAAGGCGCGGCCCACCAGAGACCGGTGAAGCGGTTGAAGCCGGCGCACTTGCCGAAGCGCAGATCCGGCTGGTTGGCCTCCCAGTGAGTGGCGGTCGGCTTCGATCCGTCGGCGCGTACCCACTGCGACGACACGTAATGCAGATCGATCCAGTTGTATTCGGTTTCGAGCACTTGGTCCACCTGTGGGCGACGAGGGTAGGAACTTTGTCACGCTGCCAGAGGCAATGCGCTGGAAGATGAAGGTGGCATAGCCCAAGGTGCAGGCTTGAGTCCTCGTGTGTATGGTGCGTTACTCGATTTCGTACCAATCAGGATTGTCCCAGAATATTACTATCTGCATTGAGTTCAACGCTCAGATAATAATGATATGGCTGAATTGATCAAATGAGTGGAGACATGCAATCACACGTCTGTGGACGTACGAGACGCCACACTCAATTTCATTTGGCCTAACTGAGTACCTAATGCTTTGAACTAAATCCCGGTTGCCTGATGTGTATAACCTTTATTTTGTCGCCCTATTTTCACTTGTGGGGGTTTTGCCACCTTAGATCATTTCTTCGCCATGAACCATGCTTTTAGCACTTTAGAATACAGTTCGTTAGACACTATGCGCCATAGCAAAGGGACGACTCAGTGCGGGTGGGCGCTGTGCTTACTCGCGACTGTGTGGAGAATGTTGTGGGTTCGAATCCGACCACCGGCGCAGCGTTTCATCTTCCCCGGGGCAATCGGCATCACATATTGCTTACGCAACATAACTTGACATTGTGAACGCATGTGTAAACATCACGGCTGCAATTCGACAGGTCACTGTTCACGGCTACAACATTACTTTGAACCGCACAAGACCTCACCTTCTGCACTTGCTGGGGTCCACCATGACCAGCGTGGCATCTTTGTCGACGTAGTTGGTGCAGGCCCATTCAGCCGACTTCCAGTCCAGCATTGCAGAGATATTTGTGTATGTGGTGCCCGCGGCTCGGACCGAATGATCTGCGGATGTCGCTGAAATGTCAGCAACGTCAACAACGCCAACAACGTCTGGAATGACAACGAGTGATTGACCGCAACGCCTCGGACGCTGGGGTAGTCCCCGATGTGTCACCGCTTAAATGCTCCGCGCATGCGCTCTGCATTCGCACTTGGCATTCCGTTCTGTATTCGCGGACACGAGTGCAGAATGCTGAAAGGAGTGCGGGCATCAAACGGTCCGAAACAGGATTCCTGAAATGGAAAAAGCCCGCCAAAACCCCTCATTTCAATGAACACATCCTTGCTGTCTGTGCCTACCACGTCTTCAGACCCACTCCCACCCAGCTCCCACAGCTCGTAACTCAGGGAGATGCAGCAGGGTCGGCCCTGAGCCAGTCCAGGGGATGTGACTCGGGCCGCGAGACGAGACGGGCACTGACCGGCTTGATGCCGGTGCGTAAATGAACTGCTGGCGATGCATTTACTGACACAGGGACGCGCCTGGACACGACGCGGATGAAGCCCAGATAGTGAAATTGGTAGTGGATAGCTCAGAGCAATAAATGCCCACATTACTCGAGCATTGAGCATTTGGCGGCGTCGGACCAACAGCTGTAAAGCAACTGTTTAACACTCGTCGATTGCTTAAATCGTAAATCAATGTTTCGACACAAAAACAGCGACAATGCGGATTTCGGAGAAGACGACGACGGGTGTTGAGTGGAATTTATTATCGTGGAAATTGTGGTGTGATTCGTAACTTTGAATTATAATTCACGCGGTGAATTCACGCGAACTCGTAAACACGCGACCACATTCACATCGCGGAGCTTCTACCTCCGGCCAAGGTCCACCAACGAGCCGCAGCGCCCGACACTTAACCCCAGACGAGACGAGAACTTAGCCTCAACGAGACTGAACACTAAGCCTGACCGGGCCGGCCGGCGGCGGCGGCGAGCACTGCGAGGACGACAGCGAGCCGGAGTGTCGGGCCGGTCATGTCTCCCGACGTGGACTGAGGACAGCACTGGGGGCTGGCTGGCTCGGGACTGCCTCAGCGGGCTGGTGCGCGGGCCGCCCCGGGCGTTTATCAGCCGGCGGAAGGCACACAATGCGAGGGCGGTTCCGGTCCTGTGGCCTTGACCTTCGTGGCCCCAATGCCTGACGCGGCGGGTGTCGGGCACACGGCATGCTCACACGGATTCAACGGCGCTGATTAATCGCCGTTCGACGGGAACATCGGTCCCCACCGGAGGAATCCCCCTTCCTCCAAAGTTCATCCCTCTCCGATGGAGAATGAAAGAACTCCTGGGGAGGGTTTGCGATGCAGCCAAATGGCATCTGAGTTGAAGAAGATCCGGGCAGATCTGTCCAGGCAGAGCCAGCAGGTAGGCGCTGACTGGGCGGCGTGTTGCCACGGACGTACTCTGAGCCGACAATTTGTGCTACGGTTGCCAAAAATGGAGGCATCGCTTCTCCTGGCATGGATTGTCCAGTCAAGAGCGAGATGTAAGAGATCATTTGAACTGGGATTTCATTTGCTTTGTCCAAATAAGATCGCTGTGAGGAACTCTACTCTGGACCTATCAGCTGAAAACATGATCTCTTCGCAGCCAGCGGTGAAAATGCGTCATAGCTTATTCGAATGCTGCTTTTGAACCTGAGCTGCTTTTCTCGGAGAAAACCCATGTTTCGATCCCCAGGTGGAAACGGACCTAAAAGGCTCGGAAAACACTCAACAAAAACACGAAACACCAAACTGAATCATCATGCCTGAGCAGTAGTGGCTACGCTGGCATTTCAGCCCAGAAATCTGACCCGTATGACTGATGCGCTGCGGCCGATCCGCAGCACAAAAGTCCATTTTGCCGCCTCGGATCCATTACGCGCCGAGGCTCAAGCGTGAGGTTGGCCGCTGATATAATGGTCGCCGGAATCCGAGGCGCTAAAGCTCACTGATGAGTTATGATATGGCCGACGGTGCCAAAGCAAGCAAGGGAAATATGATGGCGTGAAATGGCGGCCGAAAAAGCTGCGGGGTTTACGATGAAGCCGCATTTATCACCTCCCGCGCTCTGAAGAAGGGGCGAAACAAGGTGTATTCGGAAGTTTACATTGGCTGTTCATATCAGCGAACGAGGGTGGAAAATAGGGTGGAAATCTGACCTGAGGAAAGGAAACCCCGCATGACTCGCGAAAACCGCGTCTTTGTAGCAGTTATGATGTAAAGGCTCGTGTATATATACATATATATATATATATATATATATATATATATATATATATATAGAATGTCATGTAAATGTAAATGCACCCGCATATATATGCCACTTCGACCGGCGTGATGGCTTATAGTTGCAGCGTTCCGCCTTGAGAGAAAGAGAGAGAGAGAGAGAGGGGAGGGAGAGAAAGAGATAGAGAGAGAAGAGAGAGGAGAGAGAGAGAGAGAGAGAGAGAGAGAAGAGGAGAGAGAGAAAAAGAGAGAAGAAAGAGAGAGAAAGAGAGAGAGGAGAGAAAAGAGAGAGAGAGAAGAGAGAGAGAGAGAGAGAGAGAGGAGAGAGAGAGAGAAGAGAAGAGGAGAGAGAGAGAGAGGAGAGAGAGAGAGAGAGACGTTCTCAGCGGTTAAGCGATTATCAGCCCTTCAGGCAACCGACATGGTCCATCGGGTGTCCATCTCGTTTTTAATGTTTAAATCGACACACCACCTTTCCTTTTAACGGTGTGCGTCAGTAGGTGACCTGGAATAAGTCCCACTTGTCCTCCCAGAATGAGGCCCCTTTGAATTGGACTTGTTTCAGAAATGAGCTTGCCTCAGGAGCATCTTGCTTTTCAACAGCCCACATAGGGCCTACTCTAGGGCCAGGGGACCGAGATCTCCCACTCCTCAGGAAGGATCACTTCGGCCTTGATCCTAGGAACCCCTTTGTACGAAAGAGACCTTGTCACATGGGTCCGGCTCCACCAAAAACCAGCGAGTCCTTTAAGCAAGAATCTTCGGGCTGCTGCTCGTCTTTTCGGCTCCCTTGTGGATGGCAGACCGTTTTTCCAGGACTTCGCCCCCTCTTGCGCGCAGTCCGACTGGGGTCCTTTGCTGGGACGCTTCTCAGGGGTCAGCGAGGATTTTCTCGAGGATCTCGTGGGTCTCATGGGACGATCATCCATCGTTCACCCATGCATTCACCTCTGTCAGTGGTAGCTTCCGCACATTTGGGGGCTCAGAGTTTAAGTAACTTGAATGACTATTCGGCAAAGCGTGACAGAAACATTTTTTGTGTTGAAATCATGAACGTTTCTGTCTGCCGGCACACAAAAGTGATGACATTATCCGGTCTTTTTGATGGAAGTCGGTGAAGAAATATAATGCTGTTGTCACGGTCGTTGTCCAGCATCGCGACGCATCATGGACCGAAACGGCGTAAACATCCTGGGCAGTATTTGTCAACTATAAGCAACATTCTGTTTGTTTCATCTCTGTGCCATGAGTCACGGTAACTGGCGGTTGCGGTAACCAGGGCCTGGCAGCAGATTGGGAAAACCATGGCATGAAACGACTCATTTTGCATAGGCGCAAAACCAACAGCACTGAAATGTTCCACATATGCCGGTTACTTGCACGAATTATAGCGGTTTGGATCGTCAGACGTACGCTAAATTCGGATGAACCTTTATCGGATAGGAATTATTGTTGCCTGTCCAGTTAAATGGCATGTTCTTTTGATGCACGTTTGTTTTATTCAGAAATGCTACTGTGCTTACAACCAGTAAGCCAATCTTTGGTGTGCCGGGCCCAGGAAGTCCGGCTAGACACACACAGCATAAGTATGCCAGGTGCGCAATATCGAGCGCAAGACATACAAGACACGAGGTACGAGCAATCGACTTTACCTAGGCCTGTCCTCGACTTTTTGGGTGCCGTTGCTAGCGAACACAGTGGCGCGGCCAGCGAGGGTTGCCATGGAAACGCTGCGAGCAAAAGGTACGCAGAAAATGGTGCTCACAAAAGCTTTTTGCAACCATCAGATCGGCTGATGCTGGCACAGCATATTGCTGTCATGCGGGTTTCATACGTGGCCATTTTCACAAGATTACATGGTTCAATTTTTTAGCACTGGTCACGAGAGATCGCAACAACGGATCTTGCTTAGCAACAGGCGCAGGGAGGCCAACCACGAGCCTTGTCTGGAGCCCACGTGCGATATGAACAAGGCCAATATGATCCGTGTCTCCACATCTCAACTGTGGTAGTGCCTCATTATGGTCCGTATGCCCCATCGCGGGTATTGCCTTGGTGGTGTTCTAATCCTCCGCTACTCATCTCCTGAACAGAGGTCCTGTGCCCAGTGTGTCTTGATCGCACCGATTTTCCGAAATGTTCTAATGGGGTGTCCTGATTGTCGCCGCCCGCGGGCAGCGGTCGTGCTCCATAAGTGCTCTAAGTGCTCATAAGTGCTCCACAAGTGCCCTCACGGCCCACATCCTCGGAAGTACTTTGATATCCCAATGTCGTTCTGTCTCTCCCCATCCCTGAAGCAGCGGTCGAGTCCCTGTCGTGCTCTGCCCCCCCCCCCCCCCCTTCCCCATTCCCCTGGAGCCGTGGCTGTGTCTTGATGGCCGTGCTCCCCAGAGCCCGCCGCCAAGTGGTGTCGTTCTCTGGTGCACATCCGTCTGGGACGGGCCATGCGACAGCGGCTTTGTCACCTCCCATTTGCTGTAGCCCACTTAAGCGGCGCCATTATGCAAATAAATCTTGCTCGCCTTGTCTTACGTTCTGGAGATAGCGGGCGCCACGGAAGTGGTAAGCCCGGCCTGTGACGGTCGCCTGGCCGGCCGCACACCGGGCCGCGGGGCCTGGCCGGCGCTCCCAGCGAGGCCACAGATGAATGCAGATCGATGCAGAGTCGCCGGGCGTGATGTGTGTAATGATGACAGACCATTACACACGTTATGCGGTGCGCGCACAGCGAGAGCAGCATG